GTGATTCGTGTTCCTCATGAATCAACGCTCAGACTCATGAGGAACAATGCAGTTGTCTTCCTCGTTGTGGATCACTGGACCAGCTCCTCATCTTCTCAATGATCTTCAAGGCTGCATGGAAGTTTCCTGCGGGGACGGAGAAGACACACGACTGTGTCGTTTCATCCAGTGGGAGGTGCTTCTGGATCATTGCTATGGGACATTTCCAACCATGCATTTCATGCTGCTTTACCGAGGCTTGGTCATGGGGGCAGCAGCCTAAAGGGAGACATCCAGACTTCCCTCTCTGTGGCCAGTTCATCCGGGTGAACTGGGCGGATGTTGGGTGGATGGAATCATGGACTTTTACTTACCTAAGTTATTTGAGCCTTTTGAGAGGTCGATGGTGATATTTCTGATGATACCGTTAAGGGACTTGAAATCCTTGAGAAAGTACACGTGGTCATTATCAGAGGCGATGACCTTTAGCTCACTCTCTCTGGCACCCTGCACACCTGAAAGATAAGAACTTATTAAAACACCTGAACATGTTTGGGAAAGTCTATCAACTCTGTTTTGTTAAATTTTAGACAAAAACCTGACTGACAGCCGATAGTTTCTTATTTTTAGTGTCATTGTGCATTAAACAAACTGCTGATTGTCTGATACAGTTTACTTCAAATTTCTGTGAAAACAAGGACATCGTTTTTTCTGACAGCCAGAAATGTGCAGTCGAGTGGCCTGTTGGAGGTCCTTCGTTGGGCTCTGGCAGCTGTTAGGAACTGAGTTACTAGTGTTTATTGATGATGCAACTGCTGATAGAAGCAGCAGGATTAATTGTGGAGTGTACAGGACTGTAACCTCTGCTTAATTTCAGAAGAATGCAGCTGCAGAGATTCTCAGTGCACATGGAAAGTAAGCCCTGCTATCTATGGGTTCCTGGGAAACTCTTGCATTGCTTTTGCAGTATTCTGTAGTGTGGTGTGGTCTGAACGAGACTGTTGTGGTGTACACAGTTCAAAATATTATTTAGAAATGTGTACTCAGGTTTTTATTTGTCTCACTGTTTGGACTGCATACATCAACAAATCAGCAATTCAATCACCAATAGCATAGACCTCGATGTCATTGTGTTTCAGGTTCTTTGAAGGCAGGAGTACTTTATCCTGGGACTCCCCGTCTGTGATCAGAACGGCAATCCTTCTGGAGTCTGGACGCATTCCCAACCTGGGTTTAAACTGGTTATGGAGGATGTGCTCCAGAGCTTTTCCTGTATGATGGCAGAAAGTGACATCAGCAGGTCAAGAGTTTCAAAGGTCATGGACTAAAACCCAATCATGGGTTTTAAACACACACACACACACACACACACACACACACACACACACACACACACACACACACACACACACACAGTAGAAAGTCAACCATGAATCAAATGACATATTTAAACAAGAAGGCTTTAAATGAAACTAATGTTAATACTCATTAATGTTACACGCTGCTCCAACTGCCCGATAACAGCTGTCGCTGCTCAGGGCTGAGGCGGTTGAGTGCTTACCCTTTAGACAGCACTATAATGCACAGACAGCTCCGTATGTTTGAGGCATGAAGACTCCTCTCAGCTCTGTCACCAGTTTGTTTTCACTCAGCGTTTGGGCATACAGGGAGTGCAGAATTATTAGGCAAATGAGTATTTTGTCCACATCATCCTCTTCATGCATGTTGT